GGCCCAGGTAGTTTTGTGGTCTTTCTCTATGACACCGAAAAAGCGAACTCCCTCCTCACACACATTTGCCCGTACCATACTCCACGTCCCCCTTACCTGCTTTAGCACGCTCAAGCGTCCGAGCTAGGTTTGCATTGTCCTGCTGGTGAAACGTTCTTAAAAAGGGAAGGATGCACTTCCTTGGGATCTTTAAAGTGGCCAAAAGGGCAAGACCCTCATTGATGTACAGGCGGGCGGTGCGCACCGCCGCCCACCTGCCAAGGACTATGATCCGATCGAGGGATCCGTGGCGCCCGAACCAACACGTGGCGCCTCCCCTACGCAAGCTGTAAAGACGGAACTCGAATTCCTCAAGGTTCAAAGCCTTGATGCAATCACTGAAAGTCCGCCTCCATTGATGAGGCTTGGGGGTTAACGGGCAGTGTGCAGGAGAGGTGTGCTTCCATGCCCACAACCATTGGAGAGCACACGTGACAGAAATGGTGACACTTTCGGACGCTCCGGCACGTTTGCCAGACTTGGTCAATCCTAATGAAATCACTGCTGGTTTGTCGGGAGAAGTCATCAGGATATGGTGGTTCCACAACCCGAGAATCTCCCCTGCACGCAGTAATCCATAGAACCCTGGCAAGAGGCTCAGTCCAAATGCGCACTGCTGATGGAAAAGACACCATCCCAACATAGCAAAAAGACACTCCTCCGGGAGAGGTGGAGCGCGACTTGGCACCTCGTTGACGTGCCAAGTCTTCAACAACCTCCAAATCACCTGCAATTTTCCCTTCAACCATGGCTCCGTGTCCTGAAAAGCGACTGTATCACTTGCTAGCGCTCTCCCCTCTCCCACACTCCACAAGCATTCTACATAGTCAGCCAACATGTCGTCAAAGGCAGTGAAATTGGACGGTATGCTCAACCCATTTGTACTTGCGTAGTCGTAGAACTTGGTCTTTGCCAGCCTGTATCGTTTCCTGGTTTGCGGTTGCACTGTGAGTTCACGTAGTGTCCCTAAAGCTTGTCGATTTTTTGCTCTCGATTCCTTGCTGTGACCTTCTAAGTGTTGTTTCACTTTCCCCATTTCCTCTGGAGGGGCCGCCGACTAGGGCGGCCTGCTGCGTTCCGAGAAGTGTGGATATACCCCCACACTGGGTGTAGGTCCGCAGCAAGGATGAGAGAGTTGACACGCTTCAACACATGTCTCAACTTTCGGGACGAGGTTCGACCCCTCGACAAGCAATGTAAGCAAACCAGGCTATCCGTCAAATGCAAAAACCGTTGACGATGCCCCCCTCGACGCACTACCAACCAACGCAACGTGGTGAGGATGGCACGGAGCTCCAAGATGTTGATGTGTTCCCCGGCATGGCGCCACTGCCAACCAGTGACTTCTTTCCAATGGCTTTGCGGGCACGCTGGAGCGGAGCCGATGGAACTTGACCTGTGGCTCACTAGCCGCTGTCACGATCAAGTCTTCCCCTTTCATGGAAACCAACCCCAACAACTTCAAGAGCAACGGTTTTTCCAAGGTTGCCACCAGGCACTTGTTCGACACCAATGGGGGTCTCAAGAGCATCCCCTGCAACGTCACGCTGCCCTCTGGGGTCAGAGAGTCAACTATCTGCTGCAAAGACTGTCGCCGACAAAAGCCCAAAGGCCCCAACACTTGTTCCAGCAGCCAAGCAATGACTCCTACATGCCAGGAGTTCCCGATCAAGCTCAACCGAGTGTCCTCCCATTTGGTGCCCGTCTGGTCGGCTTTCGGTAGACAAGGTCTTGTATAACCAACCGGGATGCACATGACGGCCTCCCTTTCCTGCACGTTGGGGCGACGAGCTGCACCTTTCCGAATCCAAAGGAGGTTGTGGTCACGGTATTGATATGGCGGGAATCTACACCGATCCTCCTCCCAACGCTTTCGTTCGTGAGCAGCACAACGATCAAGTCCTGCCGGCCGGTATCCAGGCTGATCTCGTGGTCTAGAGGTCGTGAAAGCAGGCAACCGAAAACCCTCTGTAACCGACCAACCCTGCTCCAAGAAAGCCTCCTCCTTGATGCTAGCGTTCAACTCAACCGTACCACAACCATTCCAATCACTACTTTGCTCGGGAGTGGAAACGCTAACTCCCTCGCCTGGGCAGAGATCCCAATCCATCCAATAAAGACGAGGGCGATGACATAGACTAATCCCCGCTGAGTCGATTCGGAAAGGCTGCAACTGCACGGCCTCACATGATGCGGCGGTCCTCTTCCGCCATGGAAGCCACTGACTCCATCAACAGCTTCACCTGAGCCCATGGGAAGGCCTGGCGAAACAAGTCTCGAATACGGGGAACTTCTTGGTAGAGACAGCTTCTTTCATCACGAAGTGCCCCCTTCCTTGCGGCGTTGAGTCCACTCACGCCTTGACACGGGGGGCCAGCTCCCAACAGCACAAGGGACACGGAAGGGAACCGCAATGCCAGACTTTTGACCAGCTCTTCGTCCACTGTCCTGACATCGTCATGGAAGATGGAATCCGGGAAGAAGGCCTCAACCACGCGTCGTCCCGTACCTTCTTTTTCCACGCTCAGATGCCCCGCCACAGCCACTCCTAAACTGTCGGCTGCTAAGCGTAGGGCCCCCAATCCATCAACCAATCGCACGGTGAAGGCCTGCAATGTATCTCCCTCTGTCGGGAGGTCACCCCTGCTCTCCGAGTTCAAAGCTGCTAGTCCGTAGCTGGTCAAACCCTCGCTAACGCACACTCCGCCTCCGGTAGTGGATGCATCGCTGCAGGTCACATGTTCCACAAATGGGCAACGAAAGTCAATCTGTGCTAGAGGCGTGACCAGGATGAAGGTGAGCAGTTCTCCTTGAATGGAAGCTTCTTCCACTTCTCCATGAACCTCCACACCTCATTCAGAGTGCTCAACAACGGCCTCCGGAAGAGTGCAAAGTAAACAAAACCCCCACACACGACCTGCAGCTCCTTCAATGTACACGCCCCCTGCCTCACCAACATCAACGCCAGCTGGCAATAAAGGACTACCTTGCTCGGCTTGGGCTGGGCAAAACCCTCCAAGCCATCCACGACAGCACCCTGAATTTCAGCGACACCTGCACGCTCGACCGCCTTCTTGGGATGCCTTGGGATACCTTGGGATGAGTACTGTCCGCGAAGGTGTTGGACCACCTCCGCAGCCTGGCCACTGAGGGCTTGAGCCGTCTGGGGGTCGAGCTATCCAGGTAGACCCGGTATTGCGCCCGCGCACGACTGCTCACGCGGTCTTTGCGCATTTCACACTCCCCTCCAAGACCTCCGGGAGTTTGCTGGCTCCATGCGACTATGTTCCTATGCACGTGCTGCGCAATTGATGCGCTATTGACAAAGCCCATAGGCAACACGCACGCCGTGAGTACGCAAGGACGATCTCTCCACTCTCCTGGAACGAGCGACTCCGGTACACGCTTGTTGAACCCCAGAAACTTCCTCCACGCAAGCGGCACTTTGAACAAATAAAAGAAACAGCGTATATCTTCTGAACTTATCAACGCCACTTCTCCTTCATCCAATAGGGAAAGTACCGAAGCTGCTTATATTCGGGAGAGCCACCACGTCTCCCACAAGGGACTCACACAACTGATTAAGTGGTATGAGATTCATGATTAGTCTCTGAGTTTCAACTTCACCCACGAACTCGCCCTTGCGGTCCATCTCCCCGTCCACACGCGTAGTAGTTCAGCCCATAGATCATGTCGGAACTTGCCAGTTCGGATCTATTCCATGGTTCCAGGGGTAGAGGAATAGGGAAGATGTCATCAGGCATGTGAGGTGAATCCTCTACCGTGTTCTGCATGCGCTCAATCTTCAACTCACTTAACAACAACCTGGCCATGGACATGAGCTGCTGAAAGTTGCTGGGCTGGGTGAAACTTTCTCCTGTACAGCCGCCTCAACTCTCACACCACTCCCTCCAGTCGGGAGCTTTGTCTCACCAACGACTGTATCTGTGCCGGTCTTCTGCTCCAACGGCCGGCACAACTTCGTGGATGACCGCCAGCCTAGGCCGCCTGCCACTTCAGCTCCCTCAGCGTGGGAGTCCAGCAATGAATTCTCAACACAACCAACGTCTCGTAGTGCTGCCCTGCCAACTTGGTTCCAGCCATTGGGGACTCCTGCCCCTTGTGAAACGCCTCAAGCCCCTTGTGCCCCCCAATGTCAACCATCGCAACCGGGAGATCAGCTCGATCTCCCTCCAGTTCTCCTCCAGCCAAACCCATCACTCCTTGCTGTCTGCCTTGTCCTCCTTCTTCTTCCCGTCGCCTTTTCTGAAGCCCTTGTCCTTGCCTGCTTCTCCTGCTTCGGGCGTAGTCAAAAGGGAAGGACGATCTGCGCCGACAAGCTCCACTCTTCTGGCTACCTCGATGGCCGTGCCTCTGCATGGCCTCTAGGGCCTTTAGCCGCTGGCTGGCCACGTCCAACGCGGCCGCAACCCGACCTCGCAAGCTCAGGTCCAGGATGGTCGCAAGGTGCAACGACTCCCGGGCGAGCGCCACTCCCATCTGAGATTGTAGATGCGCCCGGAAGTATTGAGCCACGACGGGAGCCACTGCTCCCCCAGTGACTGGCTGGTTCACATAGCCTTGAGCGGTCATCATCTGGTCCTGCATGTCCAAGATGGCTGCATGGGTCAACGCTCCTGGAACCCGTCGCCACAGCCTCAGCAATCTCCTCTCGCTTTCGAAGGGCTCGGACGTCGCGATCTGCCGCTCGCCCAAACTCGAGCTGTCTGTCGACTCCCCCGAATCGTCCCTTGACAAACCTTTGCTGCCGGACCGGGAGCTTTTCTTCTTCTTCTTTCCTCCTTGCTTTTTTCATCAGCTCGTGCCTCACCTCGACCTCTGGGTCTAAAGCTGTGTTCCTGAACACCTTGAGCGGTGCCTCCAGCTGTACCTTCACTTTGGCTTTCCTCTTCTTTCCTCTTCGGGCCAACTTCTCCTCTGCTTTTTCTCCCTTCTTGTCGGGAGGACCTGCTTCCTCGGGAGAGTACTGGATCTCTCCCTCTCGAACTCTCTCGCCCATCTCCTCCCGAATCCGAGCAAGAGGATCGTCCTCTACGGCGGCAGCGGCTCCTCGAGGAACTTCTTCTAGATTGGTCCACCATTCTTCTCGAGGTTCGCCTTGCACGCGGTAACGGAGGCCGTGGATCAAATCCTTGGCCCACACCAACCTGTCGCATGGATCGGGGCATACATGGACTCTCAACTCCCGGCATCGTCCCCCAACTTCTCTCAACAGCGACTCGTTCTGCGTCCCGGTCACCCAGATCCGCCAAGTCGCGTCCCCGTCGTTGACGATCACGCCACGCGTCTCCCCTGCCACAACTACGGGAGATTCCCAAAACCTCCCCTCCAATACCACTCTTTGCTTTGTGTTCAGGGCATTGAGGGTGATCTTGCTCAACGCTACCCAGGTGGGTTCTTCCAACTCGGGAGACTCGGGGGCCTCCCTCCCAGGCCGACGCATCACATCCATTCGTGGTCTTCGAAGTGCTCCTTCCCGAGCCCTCTCGGGCACAGCCGCGGGCCTCCGACGTGGAGGCATGCTCCTCAGTAGTAGCCTCGTTCGTACTCCCGCCACAAGCGGAAGTTGGTGTTGCGCTCGTCCTTCTTGCGGCCTTTGTTGGGTGGAGGCTCACGGTAGGCCCAAGACTTGGATCGCACGTCCGTGTCCGCCCAACTGCGGTACCTCGGGGGTGGATGATCTGGCTCGCGGGGTGCTCTGGGAGGTGCCTTTGGTGGCGGGGGGATGGCACGCTTCTGTGCGTTCGTGAGCCCCGATGCACGGGATGGGGCGGATCCGCGGTGAGATGAGGACCTTGGACTGGGGCTTGGTGAACGCGGGGACTTCCGGTCACTCTTTCTCTCCCTGCTTTTCCGGGAGAGGGAAGGGCTGGTCTGCTTCTCCCTGCTCTTCCGGGAGAGGGAAGGGCTGGTCTGCTTCGTGGGCCACCCGCAACACCTCGATCCCTTTTCGTTGGAGTGCTCCTGTCACCTCCTCTCGGTACAGGAGACCGTAAATGCGCCTGAAGCTCAAGCACAGCGCACAAGCGCACGAGGTGAACTCGTGCGTCATGCACTCCGCTAAAGCCGAGACGCTGCGGGATTCACTTACATGGGTGATTCTTCTTTAAATGCGGGGCGCAAGTCATAGTCTGATTTTTGCTTCACTTGGTAAAGTTAAAGAAGTTCACTTGGTCAAGTTAAAGAAGTGGTGTGAACTTCCGAATCGTTTTGTGCCCATCGCCTGCTGGGGATCAGGAAGCCCAGTGGCAACTTCAAGACCTCACTGATAGCGTCCAGCTGCTGCTGGAAGGTGCCACACCCTGAGATCGGAGACAGCGACTCAAAAGGGGAGAGGGAGAGAACTGAGGGTAAGCATCGTTCCAAAAGTGCTCGCATTGACGAAATGACAACATGATTCTGCAGAAAGCCTTCAGTCCTTTGGTCAAGTTGCTGAGCTGCAATTGCGAGTTTCTCTCCTGCAAAAGCACCCCCTCATCCAAATTGGGTGCTGACTGCTGCAAGTTCCAACAAATCCCCGAAAAGGACCCGAAAAAACAAGATGAGAGCAACAAGCAGAATGAGCATCTTCCGGCACAGGACTTGTCTTGCATTTGTGAGCAAACTAGTATGCAATATTATGCAATATTTATACAAACGTACTATGGTCAGGGAGTGTCAGCAAATTCCAAGTCCAAATTCCAAGTTCAACAACCCCAGTGCAACACTAAAGTTACAATCGTCAACGGCGGTCCTTCAGCCACAAATGCATCGCAGCCAAGTCTAAGGCTTTGGCAGGACCACGCAGGCGAAGACAACCCTGAATGAACCTGGGCGACCAAGGAACCACCAAGGGCGACCAATTGGAGCCTGCAAGTATGAAGACTAGCGGTTGTATCTCCAAAAGGACATCACGGGTCTTACACAAAGAAACCTGGCACGATTTTGGATTACGGAAGAGTCGGAAAGATTCATTCTCATTTCATCCGTCTTCCCATTCCGGCATGGAACTCAACGATGCTGAGACTGCCCGAGTCATCGCGGTCCAGGAATGCAAAAAGGCTGTCGGCCTCATCGAGCTCGATGCCTCAGCTTTCGCTTTGTCAAGCCATGAACATTGCCGCCAACATCGCCCAGTGGCCGATAGCGTCCAGGTATCGAGTCATCGCCTACCGGCGGCAACTGCCAGGGGAACACTCTACACACAAGCAGCGGGAAAACCTCTGATCCACCCAAACACTCTCCGTCCTCGGATTGCAGTAGCTCGTCAAACTCTTCGCGCGAAAGCTCGTCGCCCGCTTTCTTGCCACTGTGCACAAAAATATCTGCTGCCATGCGCACCAGCTCATCACGCTTTCTTGGGAACAAAAGGCGCAAGGCTTAATTCATGGAATACACAGCTTGAGTTCATGCAGGTCAAAGGAGGGAATAGAGAGCACACTAGCCCAAAATCCTCCCTGATATCGTGGAATGATTCTGGTTGCATTCTACTGAGCAACAACAAATTCACCTTTGACTTCCACAAATCAGAAGACATGAACTCATGAACTTACGGGAGACAAATATACATTCAAAAACAAGTACAGTACAACTTACAGAAACGAAGTTAATCCAAGAGTCTGGTCAGAAATCATTTCCTGTGCACCCTCCACAAGAACACCATTCCTCGATCAAGTGTTCATGTTCTTTTTCCCTGCACGGTTCTACTAGATTCCAAAATGTAAAGTCAAGCGAACTAATTAACTAATTTCAGCTGAAGCTGCACGAGGTTCAAAATGACAACCAGGACAAAGCCGACAAAGAGCGACAAGACCAGGCTGTTAATCACATACCATGAAGTATCATGACCGAAGACCAAGAGCATATTATGCCAGTCCTGCATGAAGCCAGGCCATTGGATCTTCAAACACCCTAGCAGCTATAGCACACGTACCTCACACGTAAGCTGTCACTGGTATATCGTTACAGTGCTACTGCCGTGCGGACCCGTCTCAACAGTCCAAAGGCTTGCGGATCCCCGTCCTCCCCACCAAAGACCGCCAAGAAAAGCGAGTTCATCGAGGATCCCGTCGATCCCCAGTAGGCCTAATCTCAGGAGAGATTAAGCATGGCCATGCTCCAAAGCACAGAAAATGCCGGGTTGGCAACCTGGAGACAAGTGACCCGCAATTGCGTGGCATCTGCGGCTCCATCCACAAATTGCCCTGAAACCTTGGATGAAGAAAGAGTCACTTCAGCCTGGCAATGTCCCCAATCATGGCAACAGGTGGCTATCGTAAAGTAGAGCGCCACTAGGTACATGATGAGCATCATCAGCATTGCGGCCCAAAAGAAGGAGGATAGTGACTGCAGCATCAAGGACAAAGTGAAGTGCAACTCCGGGACGAGGTGGAACCTTTGCTTTTGCAAGATACGAAACAAAGGAATAAACAGGGACATCAAAGAAAGGTACAGGTATACTATACCTCCTTCAAGGAGGCCCTACCGTCCTTTGTAATCTGTTTATAACTCTTGTGTTTTGTCTTGTAATTGCCAGCGGGTAAAGTTCGCCCCAACCCAGACTTTTGGTGAAACCACTTTTGCTGCCAGTGAGATCCTCTTGGCCGGCCACAAGACCATGAAGTCTTGTGAGAGAATATAAATTTTATGGTATTTTCGTCATGTGTATATATATATATATCTATCTATGTATGTGCGGCGTGTCTTTCACACTTGGGAATGAGAACACGTCCTGTAGAGGACCCCTTCGACTGGAAAGGTCAGTCCGACCATAAAGCCCAGGAAAATGAAGGATTGAAAATGTTGGCGCTGAAGTGCAAGAAAGGGACAGCCTCGCCATTCGAGCTACACGCACCAGTCTTAATACGCGATACAGACGCATTAAACCTCCATCATCAAGGCCGAACATAAATACCCCCATCAGGGCGCACACGGCATCTGCCAGCATGAACAGGACGAGAAGTGCATCAAGAATGTTCCAAACACCTCGAGCAAAAAGGCCGCCGCAGCACAATCTGAGGACAAGAACTGCTGCCAGGCGGCCAGCGCAGCGCTTGAAATATGACCAACCTGGCGCCGAATGAGACAAAGTAGACAAAGTAGAATCTCCATTTACAAGTATATATCTCATTTTTTCATATTAATTACTGGCGATGGCCTCCAACCTAATAGCGATGGCCTCCAACCTAATAGCAATGGCCTCAAACATCCTCAAACCTAATAGCGATGGCCTCAAACCTAATAGACTTGAACCGTTGGAAAACGGAACACCAACACAAACAACAACAAGAAACCAACTCTCAGTAAAGACCGCCGTGTCCGCGAAGTGGCAGCGGCTGCGGCCTTTTTATCACTTGAGCCAAAAGTACAAATGTTCATGAACTGTGTCTATACATATGAGGTGTACTTTACACAGGAAACTTCAAGCCCCCCCTCATAGTGAGATGAACATATGTACAGCTAGTATTCCAGGTCTGAGACAGTCGCTTCATTGCTTGAACCGTCTGTGACCTGACAATTCCTATCGAAAGACTGCAAGCTTAACCTAACAGGCTTACGAACGGCAACTTGGGAGCGGCGCTTCAAGCAGCCAGTCACCCTTCATGCAAGTTTGGCGCTACAGTGGGCAGTAGCACCGTGCGGCATGCATTGTCCGGACTTTCATTCGAGGCAGATCTAACTTAGTTTCGAGCTGCTGCTGGTTATCGCTTAGCTTTAACCATTTCATTCATTGCAGATCTAGCTTAGCTTTGAACTGCGGCCGACTATTGCTTAGCTCTAGTCATGCGAGCTCCTGCCTGCATCATAAGACGGGAGCGGACTCAGGGAGAACTGCAACAACTCCAAGGCATTTCCCCATTTGGACAACGGTAATCCTTTAGTAAACACGTCGCCCTTCTGCTGAGTCGTTTCGATATGCTGGACTGTGATGTCATCAGCATTGTTGACTGTTTCGGCAGTTGAGGCCACGTTTATGCGGTGGGTTTTAATCAAATGCCTTAATTTATTGGAGTAACCTTTCTGGATAATCGAGACCACAGCTGTATTGTCTTCGAAAACCTTCAGGGTCATTCCGGGGATCAACGCTTGCCATACCTCCAAGGTAGGAATCGCCTCGGAGAATAAGGCACTGGAAAGTGAGACGAACTCGCTCTCCGTGGTCGATCTTGCAACCACGCTCTGCCTCTTGGAACTCCAACTCACTGGCGCAAAGCTGGAGGGACCCGCAACTGCAAGGATGAATCCAGAGGTTGATCGCATGGATTTGATGTCACCACCGAAATCGGCATCGCAATATAGAGACAAGTTTAACTGCTCTGGCGGATCACGAATGCACATTATCGGGGAGTATTCATGGGTCTTTTGCAAGTACCCAATGAGTCTTGCGACTCTTTTGTCGTCGTTGGCCGACCACACCGTAATGTGTTTTGCCAACAGAGTGACAGCAAATGTGACGTCTGGTCTGCTAATGCGACAGAGCCACATCAACTTCATAATTAATTTGGCCGAATGTGGCGAGAGCTGCCCCTTGATCTCGTCATCAGCAGGGATCAGGGCTCCATCGTCCCATGAGGGCGAGGAATAGGCCTTCACCGGCGTTTTCGCCAGCTCTTCATACAGTTCAACGCACTGTTTTGCGAAGTCAGATGATTCTAAGGCCACTGCTTTGCTCCCTTGAAACCACACAAGCCTATGGTTTCGTCCTAAGACTCTTCCATATTCTGACGGTGGATCTAAATTTATATACTGCTTGAGGGTTTTCCAGAATCCTTCATGTTCGGAGGCTACTCCTGAGAGTGTGAGGTCGTCTACATAGACGCTCATCACTAGAGAACGACCGAACCGAAAAACCGAGGGCATCTCACTGAACTCGACACCGTTGAGTTTTTGTTGCAAGATTTTGGAAAGGTAGCTGCGCGCAAGGCATGTGGATGTGCTTCTTGGATTCCGGCACAAGCTCAGGTGGTAGCATCACAAATGTTCGATGCTCCGTGCCGAGTGCGGACTGAATATAGGCCCGGGCGCAATCGGATGTTGAACAAGTGTTTCCCTCGATCATTGAAAAGGCTATCACTGTGTTCAATGCTGCAATTGAACTCGGAGCGGAAGCAGCAAGATCTTGGAAGATGGCGCTCAAGCCCCCCTGATCCTTGACTGCGTCACCTCGGAAAACAATCCGAGCCTTGATCTTCCAGTCAGCTGGGTTCTTTTCATATCCCTTTATGCTAACTATCACCATTAGGGCTCCGAAATGCAGTGTTTCATTGGGAAAATCCCTGATCACGTCTGCTTTTGACCTAATCTCATCTTCAATCCAAGTCCCTTCCAAAACCAAACCATCTTTCTCGCTTTTAATGGCAAGGTAAACTTCTGGGCGACCCTTCCACTCAGCACGCTCTAACAGACGATGAACGAATGCTGGTGTTACAAACTCCTTACATCCACTCTCATGCATGAGGACATCAATGGGAACACATGGCATCCCTTTGACGACATGCTGCCGATGTGAATGAATCACGCGAGGTGTGCACGGCGTGCAAAACACATGAGCATTGATGACATGTGGAAACAAAGCATGCAACATGATCTGACAAAGAGGCTCTGGGTAGAAAGCTGAGTTTCGAGTGTACTTCCCTTCAAGGGGTGCATGCTTGTCATGCGTGCACTTCAACATTCCCAAAGAATCAGCTAACCTCTTATTATTCGTGACAAACCTCCACGGCTTCCGAGCGGGTTTGTTATCCTTGGCAGTGATTCCTACGGTGCAGCCATCGAAAGTGGCAGACAGCAGTTGCCTTTCTGTGATCCAGGAAGCTAGGGGTTCACTCATCCACCCTGAACAATACCTTGGCCACTCAAAAGACGCAAAACCACCATTATTAAAAACATGGTTTGCGACCCTGATGAACGAATGCATCATTGAAACACTTTGCCTACGCTTTTCTCGAAGGATGTTGGGCAATCTTGGGTTCTTTGCTTCATTCAACCTTTGCCAAGCGCTCCAGGGACCACACTCAATGGAACCATGGATTGAACAACCAGGGATGGCTTTCACTTGCTCAACAAGTTGGTCGATGTTTGCTTTACTTGCAAGATCTATGTGTTCCTTACAAAGTCTTACAACTTGAACTCCAAGCTCCTCACCAATCCTACCGAGCGCTGAGTCTGAAGCACAGGCAAATTCAAACAAAATCTTGCCACCTGGGGAATTGTGGATCTGGCTGTGTAGACGCTCAGGCTTTGCAGCTGCTCCTAGACAGCTCTCATTGCTTGCAGCGACTGCTGATGCATACGTTTCTTGAACAATCGTTTCTGGAGCTTTCTTGGAAATGGCATCATGAGACATGGCAAGGACGGCATTAATGCCTGCACGGACACGAGCTTCATCACCCTCATGTTCATCTTCATCATCAGAGGGCGGAGGACATGCTGGGACAATCTCCTCTTCATCCTCTTCGGCCTCTGACAAGACAGTTGGGGTGTACTCTTCGTCAATCAAGTCTCCTAGGATCTCCGGCATTTCGAAGGTCGGAGGCTCAGGTGCTGGGGTCGAAGGAGCAGCACCGAATGCTTCCTCATACCGGGCAATGCATTCGGCATTGTGTGCAGACGAATCAGCATCACAACCCTTGCATCCCTTTGTCGGGCCGATCTTCAGCATCCTACTGTACGTGATGTAAACTCTGCGTGCTTTAGACTTAGTCTCTGGGGTATCTTCGATGAAAGGAATTGGCAGAGGATCCACGTCAGCGAGTTGACGAACATCAGGATCCGAGAAGTCATTCAATGCCTTCTCTGCAAGATCTCTCAACGGAAACACACGCTCATCACGAACATAAACCTCTTGATCCGGGGCGACCACAATGGAAACATGACCTTGCTTCAAGGAGTTGTAATCCACAAGTCTCAAAACACCTTTGTACCGACACCCAAACTCAAGCTTCCAACCTCCCATTAGGGCTGGTGAAGAATTAGGGGCGAGTTTTGACTTCTCTTGAAACTTTGTTCTATAGAAAACCAACTGACCCAAAATGTAATCTGCACCTTTGAACTCAGAACCAAAAGCCTTTGACCAATGCTCGATGCTCATGGAAACAGCTGTGTACTGGCATGTCAGGGTCGAAAGCTTTGGGAACACAGCGAATCCTGCTTGCAAGTGCATGCTTCTACAAGACTCTTCAAAGGACCTGATTTGTCTTTCAAGTACACTGTTGTGAGGCCATCTCCTAGGCAATGATGCGTCTGACAACCAACCGAGTGAACGAATGGCTTTCAGAAGCTCCTTGGCACAGTCTGACTTACAAATGGTTTGAGGGTTCTTGGCCTTTACACCTACAAAATGGTTCAGGGCTTCCTTGACCGAATCAGTATCTTTTGTTGCCAGAGGGTATGCTTGGAAAACTTTGCTGAACAAGTCCATCACCACAAGAACAACAAATTCCTTCCCCGACGAAGATTTTTGAAACGATCATGTGATCACATGCAATTTGCTGGCCGAACGCTTCAGGAACAGGAAGATCACTCTCTTCGTCTGCTCTACGATGGGATCTGATGCGTTTTGAGTACAGCCTAGCACGGTTGCAAACATCACAAAGTGCGGACTTAGGGAAATGTGTCATGCAATGCTTGGTGGACAGTGCAAGTTCCCGTTCACGCACGAACTTCTCAGATTCAGGGACCTTTGGCAAAGCCTCACCTGGAGCAACGCCACGAATGTCGTCTGCAACTGAATGCGGAATCGCACCTTCAGGAGACCGGACCTCGGGTTCTGCTTCAACAGGTTCCACCTCACCTGGTACGCCTGGAATGAAATCAAATGATCTGGAGAAATATGGTACATACTGATCAACCCTCGATGCTCGAATCAAATTGCTCTCATCCGTTTGGAACTGGAATTGGTTGCAGTCTTTTATATAACATGGGAGTTGATTGGGCAACCGCAAAAACCCCATACCATTGCTGACATCAAGACCAACAGACCGGACAAACGGGCATGAGTCAAGCACGAAGTGATTTGCCTCTTGAAAGATGCCTTCACGATCCCTGAGACCGATTGCATCGCTCGAATCTCTCTTTCCTCCACCTGTCGAAAACCTCAGGCTCTCATGTGAAGGAAGCTGGAACTGGCTGAACACCTCTGGAGACACTCCCTGCCTTTCTAAGCTTTGCGGAGAGACGAGATGTCGGCCGGCACCTGTGTCTGCAGCAAACTCTAGACGGCCTTCAACTGGCATGGCCATCGATGAGAGGGCAGCAACAATGGCAACAGCAGCCATTGCCTTGGCTTTCGGCTTTGGCTGGGCCTTAGGCTTAGCCGTTGCTTCGGCTTTGGCATCAGGCTTGACCTTCTCATGCAAGTACGCGCGTGAACTGCCGCGCACACATCCGGAAGGCATCTGGAAGAACGCGCAAGGCGTTTTCGCCTTGTCCTCCTTGCTCAAGCCCTTGCCTTTACCTTTTCCCTTCTCACCCTTGCCTTTATCACCTTTGCCACCTTTACCTTTAGGATCACTCTTGGGCGACGAAGGATCAGCTGGAGCCGCCGGTGTCTCCTTAGGAGGTGGTGGCGGAACCGTGGCAGCCTTGGCAGGGTTTGCAAGAGGATTCGACTTCTCCTTTGGATCTTTCTTCCACGACTTTGGCTTCAACGAAAGCTCAATGGACCTAGCATTGGTGTCTTCCCTTTCCTCAACGAGGTGCTCCTGCAATCTTCCCCAAAGGAAGTCGAAATCACGAAGTTCCGAGCTATACGCGGAGCGTTTGATCTCGTCGATGGTCCTTTCAAGCTTTCGAACGTTTCTCAACCGATGGAACAACCATTCACCTAACATTCTCTGATTCGGCCAGTCGGCAGGGTCAATGGAGTTCAAGGTCTTCATGACTGTACCGCTAAACTCCTGGAGATCTTTCAACGAAAAACCATTGAGTTCCACCTGAAAGATGCTTTGCGATGTGAGCAATGAACCACGAGTACGATCGAGATCGAAATGTCGAGCAACCATGTACAAGATCATCCTACCCCGAGGGACTGTGGACTGACGAGTGCAACGCTCAACATACCCCTGGACTTTGAACAACAACTCAGGGCTTGACCGCGCATTCTTGAGAAGCTCAGATGCAAGCCACCTATCAAACCTTGGGATCAGGCCTGATGAACTCTGGCATTCTTTCTCCTGACCTACCTCGAAAGCCGTTGCAGCCCACTTGGAAAGGTATTCATTTGACGAGATGTCCAAGCGGCCAAGCATCAGAAAGAAGTTTGTCTTCCAAGCTCTAAAGTCTGCAGCACTCTGAGGGACCACTTCCAGTTTGGTGTGCAACAAAGCTCTAGAATCAACAATCTCCCTTTCTGAGGCATGTGAGGGCGATTCTGAAATCAACTCCTCTTCATCGTCGTCCGACCCTCCACCCCCCTGATCGAATGGATCGGGCGGACCTCCGGGAAAGCCTTTGCCAACACGAAGTCCACGAGAAGGTCCTACAGGAGGTGAGGATGAATGGACAACTGTGTCATGCGAACGATCGAACAAAGGTCGAGGCTCACGATTTAGATCCGTGCTATTTCGGCTTGATTCAAGTGTCAACATTCTGGAACTGAGTGACTGAACAGCTTCCATAATCGACTCCAACATTCTGTTGCCTCCTTCAGTGTCCTTGGGCGAAGATGCATCAGGCACAGGCTTCGGAACGAAAGCAGGCGCAGGCGACTGGATGACCGCGGCGCTTGAAGCAGCCAGTCGGGCCTCCAGCGACGAGATGCGATCTTGTCGAGACGAAGACTCTTGGCAAAGACGCTGGATTTCTGAATCTTTATGGCCTAAAAGGTTGAGGGACTTTTGGTTGAGGTCGGACAAACGGTCGATCTCGTCCTTCGCTTTGCGAAGTTGACCCTCAAACATGGACTGGTTGAATTTGATCTGGTTCTCAAGGGTTTGCTTTACCTCTTGGACCGCTTCATGCAAGCTGGTGATCATGACATCCTTCTCGGTGTGACCTGTTTGGAGCATTTCAATGTGACTACGGAGTTCTTCGACCAGGGATGTCAGGTGACCGATGTGAGCTGTGGCTTCCTGGAAGACTTGTTGAGCGACACCTTCGAAGTGCGAAGCTCTAGAGTCCGCTTCCCCGATCAGTCGTTGAGACTCAGCTACAACACGACCGAACTCTGCATGATCGATACCAACATATGCCACCTGGACCGTGTTAAAAGACCCGGCGTCACGAAGGTGCAATTCTTGTGTCAAGCTAGTTTGATTAGGCATGACTTCATCTTCCTCTCCGGTACCCTGGAACTCGGATGGACCAACCGACCGCTGGAGCAACCCACTGGACGAAGGCAAGGACCGAAGGTCAGTGAGCGCAGGAATGGATGGTTCAACCACTGATACCCCTCTGCTTGAACCTGGGACTGATTACCTTTGGGCATGTTTTTGATGACTCTGCTCAAAGATCTCTTTGGAGGTTTTGATCTCCTTCCCTCATGGGGTGTTCCGGAACCATGGGAGGATTGGGACCTGCTCCGAACAGCAACTGCCAAACCACCAACAGTAGTATCTGAACTGACATTCAACGATGAAGATTGCTCTTCTGACATGATTCACTGGCCAACTATCCAAACTCTCCCAAACCCTTCTTTCCTTTCGGCGGGAACGAATGCACAATTGGCACAGGCTCTTTCGGGAACTGGCCTAACGAACGAAGCTCCGCGGCGCTCAAAGCAGCCGGACCGGAGCAGCTTCGATGCAATTTCACTCTTCCTCGTCAACTGGATTCGAATGGTGATGCACGAAAGTCACCAGACGATCCACCAACCAAGATGCTGAAAAACTCCAAGACCTTTGCTCTTCGTCAAAAATCGCTCCGACCCGAGGCTTGCGAATCTGAATAGCGATGAGGCTCGCCGCACTGAACTCACGCAGCACCTCAACGTTGTCGTCCAAAATCACAGCCTGACCACGAGTCAACGATCTCAGCACCTCAAACTTTCCACCTGAGCCCGTCCTTTCACGAGTGATGATCACACAATCAACCGACAATGAACTCTGTTGTACTGCAGTGATCAAGTTCCTCTCGTTCACCACACTGTCGTGAATGTGCGACAAAACAATGATCTTCACTCGACAACGCAAGCCGACCTCTTCAATCTCCCTTCGCAAGCGACGAACTGCTGCAACGTGGCCCGCAGGCAGATTACCAATATGATCCACACGATCCGGAGGATTGACACTCCGATCAACGTCAAGGACCTGATGGTAGTCCAATGCAATCACCGGATCAGAGCCCCAGTGATTCGGCCTTTCTGCAGCCAGCCTCAACGTATCACCGTTCGCCCACACGTAAAACTTGGCTGAAGACGGAAAAGTCAAGGCCTCTCTGTAAACAATGTCAACTCGCGACCACGGGTGAAGAACGACTCCAGGCGCCGGGTGGTAGTACTTGAGGATGTCGTAAGGCCGATTTCCGGCAGGCGTGTCAACAACACTCGAATCCGCTCGACTCGGAACAGGCCTTGGGGCCGCAGCCAAACTTGACGAGCCAGGCGAATGATCGAAGACGTACGGATTGTAGAGCCTTGAACGCGGCACAAGATGCTCAGCCTGCAACGAAGTCAAATCAACTGCTGATGTATGCGCAACAATCTCAACTTCGTCCGATTCAGCCTCACTTGCACTCGGCTCCCAAAACCTAGAAGCTCCAAGTGGCCTTCTCTGACCGCCAGCGTGAACAACCGGGATCGTCTCTCGATCGCCTCCCAAATTGACAATGTACGCTTCCCTGCGTCGCCGGGCGGCAGCTCCTCCTCGAATGCCACGCCTCGGAGGGTCCGGAGGCGTTGGTGGCCTCCTCGGTGGCGGCCCTGGCGGCTCAGGAGGCCGCCACGGCCGACGCAGTGGCGAACGGGAAGGCTCTCGAGGACGCCGACTTGACATGCACGGGTTTTCTGTGGACCCCGCAACCACACTAATGAAAGATGTTGTTGTGTTGTAACAGAAACCGAAAAGCAATCAAAAGCCGATACGGCTGATAACCACTTGAACCGTTGGAAAACGGAACACCAACACAAACAACAACAAGAAACCAACTCTCAGTAAAGACCGCCGTGTCCGCGAAGTGGCAGCGGCTGCGGCCTTTTTATCACTTGAGCCAAAAGTACAAATGTTCATGAACTGTGTCTATACATATGAGGTGTACTTTACACAGGAAACTTCAAGTAATAGCGATGGCCTCCACCCTAATAGCACCCGTTTCAGAATGTTCTCTGCTTGACAACACTTCAGCGCGGACCGCTACTGCACCCTTCAACCATAGAACCCTAAAAAACCGCAGCGTGGGAAAAATGTTACTTGATGTCCTTCAAAGTGGAAGACTGACCTTCTTTGCATTGGGCGGGTCAAATGTGTTAGGAGGCAAGGCCTGCACAAAAAATGTGCTAGCCTTTGTCAATCCTCAGAGTTTAGGAGTCAAGGAGGGAACTCCACTGTGCCGTTTGTCACTTCTGAAGGATCAGTTATATACTTCAAAAGTGTTTCTTGCTCCAGTCCGAATCTCGATGTGCCACATGCACCATCAACAACCGGAAATCAACTAGGGCCTAGGGAAGGCTTCTCTGAGCTTCCTGGAAGTCTCCTTTTGGAGCTTCTTCCGGTGTTTGCCGGAATGGGTACCAACCAAAAAATGGTGGCAGCTGCTAGCCACCCAAATCACTCACTAGCCAGCACCTGAAGCAGCAAAGCGAAGTCCAAGTTCAACTACAAACCTTGGTCGCTGGATGCCGGAAAGCAACATTCATCATGCACATGAGAAGATATGGGATTCACGGGAAACCTTCATCGTAAACCTTCATCGAACATGGTCATCAGGTAAGGAGCAGCAATCCAATGAGCAGCTCAATGACATCCAAGCCTGTCGAGTGGTCGTTGGGGCCGGCATCCTGCAAGCCGGCAGGTGGGCATTTGCATGTTTTTTTGCTGTCAATGCTTTGGCGGGAAAGACAGCTGTTTGGCTGTTTGAGTCTAAATCGAGTCTTCTTGACATTGCCAAGGTCACCTTCCCGAAAGGAACGGCACAAGGAGATTGTCAATATAGAGACAACAAGTTGCTCTATGCACACAGCCCACAGCCACCAATTTGGCCCGAGCATCTGCACGGATTCCAACGATAACGGCATTGATGACCACGACCAGCGCAAAAAATATTTCGAAGCCCTGGCTCCTAGCACAGCATTCTCAAATGTTCTCATAGCCGGTTTATACTGCCACATTGAATTCGATGTGCTCGTGCAGCCAGAAGCTAGCATGGCATGAATGGCATGAAAAGCCTGAAGCTTCAGCTTTCCTTCGACAACCTCAGTCCTCACTAACTTTTGCAGCTGCGTCTTTGCAGGTCTTGATCGAGACTTTGTCAAATGATCATCGATGACCTTCGAAATATCCTGTACAACCTGTGCCGGGCCGTGTGCACAGCGATTCTTCTCAATCATGCCTTGTCAAAGCCACTTGAGGCTCTAGAGCCGGTTTACAAGGCTAGCCTGGCATCATGACCTCTACTTCCGTCCAGAAAAGCAACCCCTACCGTTGAGAAATAGAAGACTAACCGCCATGCTCGTACCAAGGGGCTGCTTTGTTGGGAGTCCGTCTCGCTGTGCTTGTGCAACTGACGTTGCTTTTCAGATCGCAGTGATCATTCTGCTCTCTGTTCTCGTCTCCTGCGAAAGGCTCCAATGCAGAAATCTGTTTTGGGGGACGGCGAGCTGGCGGGAGCACCAACTCAACCACAATTCCACCAAAACAGGAAACATTATATACCAAGAATTAAATTCTATATATTGTTCCTACTAGCTTCTTGTTACTACTAGTAAGGCACTTGTTACTAGTAGCGATGCACCTGTTCCTAGTAGCTTCTTGTTTCTAATAAACAGGAAACATTCCAGCTGCCTAGGCTATCAACAGAATGGTCACTGCCATCAACTTCCGGTGGCGGGTCTGGCGCAAAAGGCGACTGAGAGTGGCCGACAGGACGTCGCTTGCAGCATACAGCCAATCGACGTTTGTGCAACTGCCTTTGCCGGCCTTGTTCTTGCGGTAGCACAAAAGGGACAAATTCCTCGGGATGAGTCGTCATGAGTCGTTCAAGCGGAATGATAGCGCAAAATGGCCCCCCTCACCTCACCACTTTAGGCATGTGACGGCCCGTCCAAAAACAAAGAACTTTTGGAAACTAGATGGGGCAAAAGGTGGGACAGCTACGTGCATCTGGGTCACCTTTGCTGCAACGCTGCTACCTGGTCACACATGTTGCAACAGCATGGGGACATCCAACGAAACATTGTGCGGAGGATCTCCCATTTTGTGACCACTCCACTGCTGTTTGATGAGAAATTGAAATGCTCTGATTCCCTCAAGTTGCGGATCAAGCTTGTCCCAACCAGAGCGCCCCGAATACTGTTGAGTTCTTTCCTGTCCCAGGCATCATGCTTTAATGTTCATTGGTTTGACTGGCGGCACTTTACTTGCAGGAGTTCACACCGTGCTTCATGGCTGTCCTGGTTTCCTCAAGTATATTCCTCTGCACTGCGGCCAGCTCTTGCTGAAGGATCGCCTGAGTAGAGGTGCATAAATCAGCATAAATCACCGATTTCTCCTAGAGGTACACACTCAGCAGGACAAAGCGACAAGTGCCATCTCACAGCTGAGGTTCTCTGATGGCAGCTTGGCTGGAATCATCGAGCATGTTGGAAATGGCTTTGCAACTTCTGAACCAACTGCGGAGCACCACTGCTTTCAACCTTCCCAAATACAATTTAGCTTTGACTTAATTGAAGGTGCTAGAGTCCTAGAGTGCTGGAGTGCTAGTGGCAAGATGTGACGCACAGCTGCCTACTTCGAGACATCTTTGGGGGGCCCAAGGTCTGCGCCAACTCCACTCGCTGATAGCTTTCTCGCGCAGAAAGGCTGTCACTTGACGAGTTCAGAAGTTCAGCTTGGCCATGTCGGACTCCTCCAGCTCCACGTCAGCTTCACAAGCTCGCATGCATTGATGCTTGTGCCACAGCTCAATCCTAAGTGGTGCCCAAAAAAATAAGACCTCTACAATCCACTACATATTTCTATGCTGGCAGTGTGTGAGGCATGCAAGATTGACAAAGAACTCCTGGATCCAAGTTTCTAGACCTTTCCCTTGTTTAGGTTCTCCGCAATTCTTCTGCCACCTGATGCCACAGCTCTGGCGCTGCCTTGGCTTGGTCAGCCAAGGTCGGAAGGAGGCCAGGCAGCAAGTCCTCAGCAGTTTGGAGCTTGGCAATGGCCTTCAAATGAAACTGAAGAAAAAGAAAAATGGTTCCTTTTTCTTTTGTCTTTGTTTTCGAGTAGCGATGGCTTCCAACCTAAGAGCGATGGCCTCCAACCTACTAGCGATGGCCTTCAGTGAAACTGAAGAAACAGAAAAACACAGCAAAGTACCCGGCCTCTGGGCGAGAATCACTGAGAAGCCTCGCAGCTGCAGCAATCGCGTGGACCTCCTCCAATTGCCTCCAAACATGTGTCCAAGCGACTGACTTTGTTTCAAGCATAAGTAGCAAGGGAAAAGTAATTGCAAAGAAACCCCAAGTGGTTCAGGTAGAAACTCTGAAACCTTCACTGGGATTCTGAATTCAGAAAAAAGACTCAGCCTGCGGTTCTGGAGCTGCTTCTCCAGCTCTTTCAGCTCCATTGCACGGTCATAGTCCTCCTTTTCCACTGCCTCAAGCTTCTGCCGTCGCACCTCACACAGATACAAACCTTGTTACCAGCATGCTCAATTTGTTGTTTTACAACATCCTGTCCGCAAAAGAGAGAACCGATCATGAAAGCCACCGTCCCTTTCCAAGAAAATCGCCATAACGTCATTATTGTGTAACACCCTGAGAAAGTATCATAAATAGGCATCTCTTCTCCCCCCCCGCATGTGATGATCAAGCAGGTCCGGGTCCAGTGGAGTCCCACCTCTTCCAGCTGTGCGAAATCGTCAGGAGTTGCTTGGCATTTCTCTTTGACTTTCTGAACACGATCGCCCACAGCAGCTTCTTGCTGCTTTAAGGCCAGCGCCAAGTCGAAATCCTGAGGAAACAACGTGCCGGAAGGAAGGTGAGAATAGCATTCCATGCTGGTACACAGTATACAGTCACATGTAGGATATCTCAAAATAATATCAGGGCATTGTTGAGGTTTTCCGCAGTTTTGGAAGATGGCGATCTTGGGGTCCCGAAGCCGTTAGACTCTGGCACGTGCAAAGTTCCAATAGGTTCTGCATTTGCCCGGAAAGTCCTCCGCCTCAACCGCATTTCGCTTGCAGCAAATCAGCAAAGCAGATTCCAGCAAGCCTTAGACAAGCCGTGCTTAGTGCCATGCTCGATTGAGCTACTGAGTCTAGAGCAATTTGCTGCTTGTAACAGAGTACTTGCACAGTTTGCTGCTCAGAAGCTCCGCGCCCACTCTTGGAGCGCGTTCCCATCAGTCACACCGGTATCACCTTCTCCGTTCTCTTCAGTCTCTTGTGTTTTTTGACGCTTTGAATTGCTGTCCACCTCCGCGGTTGCAGCACGCTTCTGACTCAACTGCGCCTCCAGCGGCAGGGGGGCGAGACACGTTTTGCATTGTGACATTGGACATGAATGTTATTCTTGAATGCCTCAACCTGACAACTCGCCCATCATCCCCGTCAAAGTCAACTCTAGCTCGCAGCAGCCGTGATAACTCACATCGTTCTTGGCAACTATGCTTCAACACAATGGTGTCCCATCTGCCTCACGTTGAGCTGCCAGGCGAGCCAGCCGCACATTTGCATCTGCTAAAAGCGGCCCCGATACTGCTGCAGTCTCGGCCTCTCGAACAGCAGCCGCGAAAACAACCTCCGTTTCCTGGCACGCTGACACTCGCACCCTTGCATTCCTAATTCAAACTCCTTACAAACATGAAGTCTACCTGAGATGGCTTAGTGACAAAGTGGGTTCAGAGTTCCAGGTCCAAGCTCCTCATCTACTGCACCAGACATCTCCAAGGACTGCACCAATTCCATGGCGCTGAGCAGCTCAGTCTCCGCAGCCAAAGTGCAAAGTCGTGCCTCTGCCTCCGCGAGGATGTCCACATCAGAGCCACAGGCACGTGCAGCCGCCAAGGCCTCCCGCAACTCGGCCTCACTGCCCCCCATGGCCTCAGGGCGTTGCTGACCCAAAGCCCAAAGCTGTTCTCAAGAATTATATAGAAGTTTCTCATTAAACTCATCAAAACCTTGGATCAAATCAGCCGCGCCTTCACTAAGGCTTCTTGGGTTTCCAAGCGACCCAGTTGCAGTTCTGCCTCTTCAAGCCGGGCTTCGTCGACGCAAGCCTCACGGGCTGCCATCAGCGCTGCCTGCAGCTCTTGGATGGAGGCATCCTTCTGCAAAACTACACCCAATGCTGCGGCAGCTGTGAGCTCCTTGCACAAATGCAACACGTGATCGAAACGCTCAAAGCACCAGAAATCTTGGTCTGGCCCCGATCAACTGCTCGGCTACCCTGAGAACTGATATATAATGCTACTACTTGAGGCCTGCCGCCTAATGCACATGTCTGGAAGGGCGATGAGGCGCTCGAGTGAGACCTTCAATAATATCAAACGCCTCTCATCCGCATCCGCTGGCCTTCAACCAACGCTCACCTTCCTCCAGCGCAGCTTGACCCACCCCAGCAGAGTACGCAGCACCCAAAGCAATTCGCATGGCGCTGGCACTGTGCGTAGCATAGGCGCGCTTTAAGGCTTTTGTCGCCAAGACCTGGGGAGAGTCGACCTCCTTTGGCGCTTCCTTCTCCATCTGCTCAGCGGACTTTTCAGGCTCGGAACCCATCTCTGGAGCCTCGGGAGCCTCAGGCAGTTCACTGGGCTTCAGGAGCTCCTTGGGGATGTCGGCCTCCGGAAAATGCTCTTCGATGAGGGCTCGCAGTCCAGGCTTCGCTGCTTCGATGTGTTTCGCAGCACCCTGCAAATGAATAATTCCTGCAATGCATTGTTCTTATTGGACAGCTCAGTCATGCCCACAAAATACACTGCTGGCACATGCCACTAAACAGCACTGTACATCACCGGGCATGTGCTTCATGCCCGATGCCAATCCAGCCTCTTGCAGGTTGTGGTGCGACTATGATATGCCCATGGGAGTCGCCCAATTTCCGCAGCGCAGGCATCAACACCCGCAGTACATTCTTTGGCCAGTGTGCCTGGGGGTGATGGTGATTGAAAAGGCAAAACAAACGAAGGCACTCCAAGGCAGCTTATAAGTCTTGTCACCGGTCCTAAGTTTTGGCAGATCCTTTGGTGTTTTCTTCAACCCCTAGCCTTGTCGATGGCGACCTGCAGCTCCTCTTGCGCCATGGCTACTTGCAGAGATCATGCGATGCTTCTGTGGTGCAGGGTGGTTGCCTTGTGCTTGCCCCACTCATTGGGCATAAAGCACCCACACAGGACCAGCTCCTAATCCGTCTATATGCATCTCCCTCATCCAACTTGTGACCATCCAGCTTGTGACTTGTGGATTGTTATGTATAAATATATATATATATATACATATACGTGAATCAAGCTGATCAGCTATACGAGGCAAAGCATCATGAATGCTCGTAACATGTGTAGACAAGTGACGGGGCTATGAGGGCAGACTCACCTTCACACATGCTGCGACATCAAATACATGGGTTCATATGAGTTCATGATATTTGTGGACAAGGTGCACACATACAAACACATCGGCTCCAAGTGCAAGTCCAGTTCCCACATGTCTGCCGCGCAACGGCCATCACCAACGACACTAATCTTCACTGCCTGTGGCTCCATGGCAGCCACATCCTCGGATCCATCAAGCAAGAAAATACGAGCAGCGGCGGAAGCTGTGCACATTTAGTCACTATCTGCTGACTACCAGGCTAGCCTTGTCATGATTTCCACGCAAGAATGTTTCGGCTGATGCGCACTGCACTCTGGGTCCAAAACTGAGAAAGTCGCATTAATGCGTCCCATTCAGGGCAACCTTCAGTAAAAGGCGCAAGCTCTGCATCGGCTTGTGGACACCTAGCAGCTACAACCAACTTAGGACGAGCAATATTTTTCCATGTATCACTGCGAAAGCACGGCCAGCTAACGGATGAACATGATGGCTTGGCAACCAAGCGTTCAGGCCCCGAGCTGGCGATTTATTGAAACTTGACTGGCATGCGCAGTGCCACCCAAACAAATCAGTCCACATGAACTAGGGCAAAACAAGAAAAGAAAATCTCACAAGTCCTTTCTTCCAGATTTTGTTCACACATATACTATGCTACTCAAGACCTCTCAAAACTTAGGCCATCAGCCCTGCATCCCTACCTTCCCGTGTCTGCTCAAAGTGCTTGGAGAGCAATGCATTCAGGGAACCAGCACCCCAATGACATCGCTCGCCTCAGCAGCTTGTTGTTTGGTACACATGTTCCGCCATCCAAACCAACAGTGTCGTGTGCGCGAATCACCTGGGTTACCTTGGAGAATCAACATGAATGGCAGTCATTTGTGGAATGATAGAACTCAACAACTAGAACACCATATAACCCAACAACTGAAACATGGGTTGGAAACTGCCATGTCAAATGGAAAGCCACGGAGCTGGCAAGTCTGGAACCAGGCCACTATCCAATATGACAAAACAAAAATCCAGATCCTTGTCATGCTCAAGTCGAGCTTCCAACA